CTTTTTAATATATAAATTTATTTTTTATAAAATTAATATTATTCAAAAAAATATCAACAAAATATTTAAAATGAGACTAATATTTAACAAATTCAATAAAAATTTAAATTAATAATTTAAAAAATATATTTAAAAAATTACATAATTAAAATGATCTATATGATTTAAAATTAATGTAAACAATAATTATTTAGAATTACCTTTTGAATAAAAATGTATTATTTTTATTTACTAAAAAAAGGTTAAATGTTATAAATAAAAAATAATAAATCATAAAAATACTATTAATAATTAAACCAGACAAACATTATTTTGTATTTTTATTAATTCAAATCATACATTAAAAATAAGACAAATTAATACAAAAAAGTTCATTAAAAATAATCAAAAAAATAGTCACATATATTTTAGCAATAAAAATAGTTTCAAAAATTAAGGCATGAGAAATTCAATTCATCATTTTTGATTGAATTTTGTCGTCTATTTTTCTTTAAAAAAAGAAAAAAGAAAAAAAAGAAGTCAATTTCATATGATTCTATATTTTGTAATTTATTTTTTTATTATTTTATTTTATAAGAAGACATAATTCAATCAAATATGATAATGGAAAGTCTAAACTGTGTGGGTTGCAAGTTTAGTGTGTGCACTACAAGAAATGTCACTTTTAGCTACTAAATTATTGGTCGGTAAAAGGCATAAATTTGGTCGCTGAAACGATTTACCGACCAAAAATTTCTGTCGCCAAGTTCGTCGCCCATACCCCGTCGGCGATAGTATTGGCGACTAAACTTCATTTGGTCACCAAAAATGAAACATTTCCCTACTAAATTTCTTTTAGTAGCCAAATGGTATCTTTTCGCCACTAAAATCGTTAGTCACCGAATGTGACTTTTGCCTACTACGCTCATGTAGTCGGGGAAGGTATTCGTTTTTGCTACGAAAATATTGGTCACTGAAAGTGAACATTTACCTACGAATCCTTCATTACTTAGCAAACGTGACCTTTCCGCTACTAAATTTTTAGTCACTAAAAGTTCTATCGTTAAATTTTGACCAACTATTAGAGACTAAATAATTTGGTCACCAATAGAATACATATTTTTAGCCACCATGTCATTAGTCGTGGTTACTTTTGCCGACTAAAACTATTCGTAGCCAAAAACCTATTAAGATTCATTTGAAAACTTTTTGCCACCAAAAGTTTTAATCGCTAAATGATACCCTTTTTTCCATGACTAAAAAATTTAGTGGCCAATAGTTTCTTTCTCTCATTCTCAAATTTTTTAGCTACTAATTTGTTGGTCACAAAAACGTTTTGGGTTATGTTTTTGCTACTAAATTATTAGTAGCCAAAACTTTTGATTACCTATTTCGCTACCAAAACATTTGGTGGCCAAATAATTTTCTGTTTTTTTTTTAAACAAAAAAAATTGTAAACAACCTGTATTCATTTATATTACAACATGTACCCTGTATAAACAATATAATCCATCAACACTAAAATATATTATCAACCATTAAAGCATTCAACATAATACATGAATAACCATGATTTAAATCCATACATAATACATGAATAACCAACGTCAATAATTTAAATTACAACCTGTAAACATAATACTTTCTATTACATTTGTAATTAATACAGCAATGATACACAAACACCAGAGAAAATCAGACCAGCCACCTACAACGAGGAAGATTAGTGATGTCTTCTGTCCAGCTCTGCTCAACAATTTCACGCACCCTCCGGTTGTATTCACGCTTGTTCTCACTAAACAACAATGCTGCTTCTGAATTTGCAGGTGAGTTTGCATTTGGATCACAGAGCATT